GTGCAGCCAAGTTTAGAGAGACCACGGGCATCTTCAACTCCTGTGAGGGCAGTGCAGAAAAATACCAGCAAACATAGAGCAGTGCTGAAGGAAAGGGAAAAGCTAAGGTTAGAGCTCATCAAAATAAGGAAGGAACTTAGGAGTGAAAGAATGAAGACAAAAAAGTTGCAACGTAAAGTTGATAAGCTCAAAGTGAAGAAAGGAAAGGATGTAAGTGTGAGCAACAAAAAGACAGACAAAAAGAAAATTGCAGAGGAGAAAAAGGAGAGGGTTGTCAGCTTTCTCTGTAGAGATGAGAATAGCTGCATGCTGTCTGGTAAGAAAGACACAGTTACAAAAAATAAAATAAAACACCAAAGGAGAGTACTTCTTCATTCTCTGAAAGACCTCCACTCCAGCTATAATACAACCGCCCTGAAACACCATGCAGTTTCCTATCGACAGTTCCTCAGATACTGCCCTTTTTATGTAATTGTGCCATTTTTTGTAATTGAAATCAGAGGTCAATCTGTTTCTTCATTGTTAAGAATATTGTTTTTATGTGTTATGAAAAAGACAAAATCTATTACAGTGTGTTCACACTTATTAAAATACCTAAATCAATTTACTCCATGGCTTTTCATTGAATTTCATGTGTCAATTGCTTGTCGTTCTCTGTTCAGATAGTATGGTCAGTTGGTGTAACCAATAAATGTCAACTGGCGTAACCAATGTTTCTCATAAAAATCTGATATTGTGCAAAAAAGTTATTATGCATATGATTTTAGCACTCTACTACACTGTAAAAATGAAATTTAAAGTTATTTTAAACCAACTGACCCAAGAATAGAGAGAAAACATTAATGTCTATGGCATACTGACTTGCTCAGTACAACAAAAACCCATATTATCCAAGTTTAGAATTAAAATATTTTAAATATACTTTGAGATGATGTTTCATAATAGATAACTTATTTTCATTAATACACTTGCATAACTTCTAGGAGGGTGAATTATTTAATACTTGTCATGCTTTTGTGGTTACACCATTTGACAATTTAATGGGACTGTGACTCTTTAATTGGTTAAAAATGGTAGAAATGTCATATGAAATACTATGACACCAACAGAAATGCAAAATATACATTTAAACAAACATCTACCATATTGTTTTAACAAGTTTCAAGCATATTTTTGTTTTGGACATCATACCAACCCTTATTTGTCACTGACCCATATATATATATATATATATACACACACACACACACACACACAGTATTCTTTTTTTTACAGTGAAAATAAATAATAGTGTTTAGTTACAAGCTGGTTGCTTTCTATTTCGTTGGGACCTATTTAGTAGTCCATCACTTGTAGCTGGTTCCATCCGCCTCTGATCTTCTGCAGGGAGAGTGAAAGTCTCAGGCAGGGCCTACAGGTGTGAAGCATCCCAAGTCTTTCCATCAGTCAGTGTATAGCTGTGTGGACCTTTCTGACGTGTCACCCTAATTGGCTCACTGAATTTGGATTTCCCTTTCTTTGTATGCATTGGCTTTCATACATGCACAAGGCTTCCTGGATGCAGTTTAGGACTCTTGGCGTGCCTCTTGACATCTGGGTATAATTTCATGATTGACTGTTTCTTCATCATCTCTCATATCCTGATCTAGGGCTACTGTGCACTCTGGCTGAATTGTGAGCTTGGTTCTCATCTGTCTTCTGTACATACATACATGTGGTGTAGCTCTGTAATGTAGGATCACACATGCACATATCACAGGGCCTAAATTCCAGGTGGCCTGAGACAAGGCCGAGCCTGGTACGAGAGGCACCAAAGGGGGGTTACACACATAAACACACACAAATACACACAGATAACAAGGGAGGCCAGCACTCCAACTTTTATTGCCCAAAGATTTAGGGACCTACAGACAAGTAGAGTGGACTCTGCTTGTCTGTAG